GGGGGAGTCCCCATCCCTGGGGGGGTTTCAGGGCCGTTGGGATGAGCTGTGGGGGATGTGGGGTAGGGGAGAACTTTGCAGAGTCGGGCTGATGGTTGGACTCGATGATCCCGAGGGGCTTTTCCAACCTGAATGATTCTGTCATTGTGTCCCAAGCTTCCCCCTGTTGAGAAAAAGACCTCATTTAGTCATCTAATGAGTCAAAAATACCCCAATACACATAGAACAAAAGTAAAGGCTGGTTCATCCATCATCAGGGAGAAGGTAGGAGGATTAACTAGGTCATTAAAAAAAAAACCAACCAGCTTCTGACAAGCCGAGAGAGCATTGCAGAAGAGCCCAGGTGGGGAGGCAGCAGAGCAGGCAGGCAGCAATAAACTCATAGCCCCTCATCCCCCGCAGAGACAGGCACAGACATGTGGGGACAGCAGGGCCACATACCTCGGCCTTGTTCTGCGCAGGGCAGGTTTGGGGCTCCCGCTGTGCCCCTTTGCCCCTTTTGCATCTAGGAAAGAGTGGAAAAGACCCTGCTGGAAAGGAGCACGACGTGCTCTGCCCTGCAGAGATTTCAGTGCAGCGGTTTCAAGTTTGATGCACAGAAAACAAACTTGCTGTGTGAAGCTGGCAGCCCTGTGGGCTCAGGCACCCAAGCTGTCATCCCACACACATCCCCACAAGGGGGTTTAGCACAATTCTTTGGCAGAGCAAGCAGAGAAAAACAGGGCTCCAGCCTCAACCATTTTTCTCCAGTGCAGGGTTGTTTTCCTGCCACAAAGAGCTACTTACAGCAAATTCACCCCTTTTCACCAGTTCTAAACGCAGCTACAGGCTGCCTCTATGTTCGCACTTGTTGAATTTAAATCAAAGCTTGGAGTTCCCCTCTGCAGAGATCACAACACCTCCCAGAGATGCATTTCACTCACTATGCACAGAAATGCTCCTCTCACACAGTATCTAGGAAGAAATCTTTACTTTCAGAATGGTCCATCTGGGACAGCAGCACCCACAATAGAGAAACTGGTGTCCCAGGGGGAGAGAAGCCCCCCCTAAGCATCCCTGATCTCACCTACCTCCAGGAGGGCACAGCCACCTCTCCCTGGGGCAGGTTCCCCGCTGACCCCCACTTAATACTCACAGGGAGGCACAAACACCCCAGCAAGGCAACACCCACCAAAACCAGCCCTGAGACCCCATAAAACCCTTATGACCTCCCAGGCTTCATAGAGACCCCAAACCCCACTGCTGGAACAATACCCTCTGCAGCAACCCCCCCTGGCCAGGGGAGCAGGAGAGCTGGGAGCGCGTCCCCCACTGCCAGCTCCTCTCAGATAACCCCCAGTGTCACTTCACCAGCCGCACGCTCGTACACAGAGCTGAACCAGCACCTGTGGGTATTTGCCAGAGGTAAATATTGACAGACCTCAGAGAAGCACAGCCCAGCAGCTGAGATAACAAGAGGAATATTTTTTTTTAATCTCTTCTATTCTCCCACATAGTCCTCCTGAACTACAGCTCTTCCATGTTGCAATTCAGTCCTTTTATTGGAAACCTGTGCTCCTTCTTTCAGCTTCTCCAGCTGAAATAATTTTGCTGGTGCTGGAGCTCAGGTGGCTCTGCCTGTCCCTGGTGCAGGCAGGGCTGCCTGCCTGGGCCGCCCTCCCCACAGTCAGAGCCATGGGGATTAGTGTTTTGAAGCAGGCAATAAATTCCTGAGATGCGTAAGATTCATTTGAAGATTAAAGCTGTGGAGGCAAAGCTAAAACAAGCTGAATGTTTTCCTGGCTCAATCTGTCCTGGGACACACAGAAACCTGGAGAAGATGAAGACACCCCGTGAACAGAAGCTGAAGTCCTGTGTCTGGGATGTTTGCCCTGGGAGGAACTGGATACAAGGTGAACCATACTGGTTTTTCAAGGCCTGGACACACATTCAGCTGCCTGCCAGTAGAAGGAGGAGCCCAGGCCACCGCTGAGGCTGGGCAGGGTGGGCATGTGTTTGGGTCATTCTTTTCCCTTGCAAGGGTCTTTAAAGAAAAAAATCCTTTTCTTTAAAGTCCCGATGTCTTGGAATAAAGACTGAAGCATGCCTGGGGGCTAACAAGAAAATCTCTCTCCATGCAGGGGTGGTTAAAGCAGCACAAGCACAGAAGACACGTTGAGCACCCTGAGAAGGATGCAGTGACTTTGGAGGCAAAATATTTCTCGCTTCCCAAGCACAGCACCCCTCTCCTATAGCACATTTCCTCCCACGCGTCATTTTTTAATGTTTTGATGGCCTAAAGGTTGTTCACAGGACTTTCATCCCTGCGCAGCGGGATGCGGGGGTGGGAGCGAGTGCGATTTGCAGTGTCGCAGACTGTGTGTAGTACTGGAGGGATAAAGCAGGGAAGCAGAAATATTAGGTCCTTGTCACCTTGGGTGTTGTGGCTGGCTCCCACACCACCTGTGAAGGGCAGGGAAGCTGTGAGTGTCCTTAGAAAAACCAGCATCCAGTTATGATCGTTATTTTTATTGTAGAAGCACTCTTAATCGCTCACCAAAATGAGGGAGCGCCCAGCTCAGCCTGGGGAGCTACAGGCAGCTAGAGGCACAAGGAGCCAGAGGCTCAGTCAGAGCTGATAGATACAGCAGAAGGAAAACCAGTGCTGTCTTCCTCATCTTACTGGGATGTGGAGGGGAAGAGTTGGGAGCAGGTTGCCCATGGAGCTGGTGTCAGAGATGCCTGGCAGTTCTCTGAGGAGAAGCTCAAAACCCTTCTGCTAGGTGGCTGCTGCTGTAGCATTCATGGTGTCATGAGTTGCCCTGATTTCAGAAGAAGCAAAGCTGGGGATGAGTCTCTGGAGCCAAGGAGCCAGCGCCAGGCCCAGAGGGAATGGCCTCAAGCTGCCCAGGGCAGGGTCAGGCTGGCTCTGAGGAAGGATTTCTGTGCAGAAGGGGCTGTTGGGCGTTGGAATGGGCTGCCCAGGGCAGGGGGGGAGTCCCCATCCCTGGAGGGGTTGAAGAGTCGGGCTGAGCCAGCGCTGAGGGATCTGGTAGAGTTGGGAACGGTCAGTGTGAGGGTCATGGTTGGACTGGAGGAGCTTCAAGGGCTTTTCCAACCCAAATGATTCTGGGATTCTGTGACCCCTTCTTTTTCCTTCCTGTTCTCTGCTTAAGAAGACACCCGGCGCTGAATAGCGAAGAACTTGGCTGGTATTGCCCTCCTCTCTATCTCAAGCCATAGGGAGAACAAATTTGTCTCCTTGTAGTCGACAGCGAGCTGGAAGGTGAAGCTCTGCAGCAGCGTGGTGAGGAGAAGGAAGATCTCCATGCGGGCCAGTGCCTCTCCTGGGCACATCCGCTTCCCTGGGGGCACAGAAAGGGGAGGGTGAGCACCGGGCTGATGGCTTCATCTGGCATTTGGGAAAAAAGAGCTTAAAAGGGTAGCGAGAAAGCTCATATTAAGGGTATAACTTTGGTGCCAACCAATACTCATGCTGGCGGTCCCTGGCACGGAGGCCCTGCAGGCAGGGTGCTGGCAGATGCAGCGTGCAGGGCTGAGCACCGACCTGCTGAGAAAGCCAGGAAGGCGTCGCGCTTCCTGAACTTGCCATTCTCATCCAAGAAGTGGCCTGGGTCGAATTCTTTGGGGTTCTCCCACTGGGTTGGATCCGTGTGCACGGAAGAAAGTACTGGAATAACAGTTGTGCCCTGTGGGAGAGGCAGGGGAGCAACGGGGGACATCAGTGCTGTGACACAGGGCTCTGCTGAGATGGATTAGCAAGTGAGGAACATCGAGGGGTGTGGGGGGAGGCTGGGTGCACACCCCAACGCCCACCCAGATGCCCGTGGGGGAAGCAGCCCGGATGGGTGATGGCTCTGTGCCAGGCAGGAACAACTAACATGGGGCTCTACTGTCCTCATGGTCCTGCCGGTCTCTGTGCAGCTCACAAGACAGAAATTATTGAGTTATTCCCACTGATTTATGTTAAACCCCCTCTCACTGCACAAAGTCCAAAGGGAAGTGTTCCTTCCAGGTGGGTGCTGTACAAAATGCTGGCGGTCAAACCCAGACTGGCAGTCCCCAGAGCTCAGGCTCCCAGCCCCAGCAGCCCTGCACATCTTACTGGTGTAGAGAGGTGTTCTCCTGGACAGGCAAGGGACACAGGTGTGTGGGCAGGACTGGCAGCAGTGTTCACCTCCCCCTACTTCTCCACTAAAAGGTTATTGCCATCGCCCTGCACCAAAGATTGGGAAAGACCTGGAACCTTCAGGAGTGAACAAACAGTCCAGTGGCAAAAGCAAATGTCATTCAAGCCCCTCTCCCACCCCTCCCTTCAGGACATAGAGTCTCCAGGGCCACAACATCTACCTTGGGGATGGTGTAGCCCCTGAACACAACATCCTGCGTCGTCATCCGTGGGAAGTTCTCAATGCGGCTTTTGTGGAAGCGCTGCAGCTCGTGGATCACCGCGTTGGTGTACGGCATCCTCAGCTTGTCCTCTGTGCTGGGAGCACGGCTGGTGCCCACCACCTCATCGATCTCCTCTTGGACCTTGGCTGGGGAAAAGGCAGGCATGGAGTTGCGGTGCTTGCTGTGCAAATCCCCCATAATTTCTTACGGGCATCCATGGGTATCTAGACCCAAAGGATGACCTATCTGAGAGGGAGCAACCTGGCATAACTCCTTCTAGAGACCAGAAATAAGGTCTCTGTCCACATACCTCTGCAGACCAGGCAGGTCCAAAGCACCTCTCATAGGCCAGTTCAGGGCCATCTGCACAGGCAGGGATGGAGAAAAGGGAGCAGGTACCTGGATCCCTCTGGCCTGCATGAGTCTGTGTCTAATGGCTCTCACCCTTGGGTGACCTGTGCAGCATGGCTTTGGTCTCCCCCCAAACAGGACCCTCCAGGGCTCGGACTCTCTGTGTGCCTTTGCTGCACTGTGACCTCCTCAGGCACAGGGAGCACTCGCACTTTGCTGCCCTTACCTTGAATATGGGGGTATTTTGTCAGAACCAAGAGGAAGAAGACCAGGGAGTTGCTAGTAGTTGTTGTCCCAGCACCAAAGATATCAAATACTGACATGACCAAGTCCTCCTTGCTGTACATGTTCTCTGGGCTGTTCTTCTCCTGCAAGGATGTGGTGGGGAGGAGATTCAGTATTGTCTGAGTGATTTTCCAGGCTACAGCCAGGTCTGAAGGGCAGCCCTTGACCCTCTTTGCACCACCTCTACCTTCTCTGCTTTCAAAAGGAAACAGTCGATGTAGTCCCGGGGGCAGCTGGGATCCAGTGTCAGCTTGTGATGCTTGACTCTTTCACGGATGTAGTCTTTCAGCTTCTCACAGTTGGCCAGGTGTTTCTTGTGTGGCCCTGGGAGGTGATGTATGATGTTGGGGAAGGTGTTGTAGACCTGTGGATGGAGGAGGCACAGGAGGGCTCAGGTGTCTGCATGGAGCCTCCCACACCTTCTCTCAAAGTCATGCTGTCCCATCAAAGCCAAGGAGTGACCCAAAGCCAAGGAGCATCCCTCAACTGCCTGAGCACATCAGACATGAGTGAGAGCACAGCAAGGATGCCTACCATAGCAACGGGAGAGAGGAAGAAGCTGACGTAATTCCCGATCATGTTCAGTAGCTCCAGAAAGTCCATGTCACTGTAGCTGTAATGGGTCCCAAAGACAACAGAGCAGATCACATTGGCAGCTGCACGTCTGAACATTGTCATCGGCTCAAACGCATTTCCTGCAGTCACAGAAGAGGCAACAAAGGCATCTAAAGCCAAAAGTTATTCATCTGCTTCAACACAGAAAACACCCTTCCTCCCCCGCTGAGCCCCTGTCCTTTGAACTCTGAGCCCTGGCTGAATCTGCCGGATCTAACAGCCAAACCAAAGAGCCCTCCTGAGCCATGGGCTCCTGCATCTACCTCCCTGCTCCTAAACCCCTCCCCAGTGGTTGGGACTCAGGAAAGCAGAAGCATCTCCAAGTACTTTGGGCTCCTGCCCTGGGGATCTGGAGGGCTGCAGAGCATCTCCCTACAGCAACCAACTCCTCGCCAGCACCACACCTCAGGGCAGAGGAGCCAGTGTACAACTGAGCTTCCATCTCCACTTATATTCAGGAAGCCCTGAAGAGGTGGTGGCACTGGCAGCAGCCCAGGTTTGTTGGAGATGAGGACATCCCCCTGACAAGCACCATGTCACCATATTATTTGTATATTCTCAATGACACACAGTCTAGTTTCCTATTTCTGTTCTTTGGCATGAAAAGTTCCTGAGGGTTTGCCACCCTCTGCACCAGTCCAGGAGCAGGATCTCCCACCCTGGCCTTTAAGCCATGACCATACCACAGTCCTGCAGCTCTCTCTGGGTGGATTGGAGCTCAGTCTAAGCCCTTTCTCTACCAGATTCATCTACACCAGCCATTGCAAACAGCTTTGGGGACTACATGTGTCCCATGAGGCTGTTTTGTGTCCTCTGCCTGCCACAGGGGCCAGGGTGGACAGGACCCTCCTCACCTTTGAGTTCTGACAGCAGTTTCACCAGGTGCTGGGCCTCTTGCTGCACCCGCTGCGACATGGAGCTCTTCCCCATCCCAAAGTCCCGCAGGGTGCTGACCGTGAACCTCCGCAGTTCCCGCCACTTCTTCTCATCGTTGGAGATAAAACCTACAGGAACGCAGTGAAGACCACTCACCTGCCCACCCTGATGCTCCTCCCAGGAATGGGGAACTGTGCTCTGAGCCCAGTGGGGGAGCAATAGGGCAATAATCCAGGGAATGACCCTGGTGTGTGCAGTGTCCTTGAAAGGCTGAAGATCTCTACAGAAACGCAGTACAAAGATGGTACTGTCCTTGGACAAGAGGCTTAATAGTTGGAAGGACTTCTGGAATGGGAAATGTGTATTTGAGGTCTTGGGTGTTGAGTCTTTCACTAGACTCGAGCATGGCCAGCTGCAGTCAAGGACTTTCTGCTCATCCAGAGAGCAATAGTGTCTAGAAGAAACCCAGACACCTACCGTAGTCTTTCGATAGACTCAACAGAAGAGGTATTTCAGGTCTTCCTCCAAACTCCTCATAGTGGCCTAGCAGAGCATCCTTCACCACCTCGTACCCACAGAGCACCACCACCGGCTTCTGCCCCCGCCAGATGGTGAAGATGGGGCCATAGGTGCTGCTGAGCTGGGGGAGGACAGGAGAGCTGTGGTGAATAAGTGCCTCCCTCAAAGCCTGCTGCCATCCCATCCCTGTCCCTGGGGGGTTTCTGATCCCAGTACCACCATGGGGGTTCAAAGCATCATCTCCGGGAAGCAGCTCTGGATGGCGGCAGTACTGCAGCCTGGAGAGGGGTTAATGTCACTGCTATGGATGGGTCCCTTACAGGAGGAGAAAGACTTCAGTAACAGTATTGATTATGCTCCCAGTAGCAGGGATTTAGTCAATTTTGGCAGAGCAAGAGAAGAGAGAGGGAACAAGAGAAAAGAAAGGTAGGGAAAGAGTCATCTGCATGATTCCTCTTTTATTTTGACACGGGACATTCACACTTTCTTTCCTGCTGGGGCTGGGAGCAGCCTTCTCTCTTACCTTCTCATAGGTCTTGTAGAGTGGCAGGACGTCCTTTTGCCACAGGTTGCCCAGAATGGGCCTCGGGGCCGGTCCAGGAGGCAGGCAGCTTCTCTTCTTATTGGTTCTCCAGACCAGGAACCACAGGATGGAGAGGAGGAGGAGGAGGGTGACAAGCACCCCAGCCAATCCAGCATCCATCTTCACCCGTGCTGCTGAGAAGGGAAAAAAATCAAAAAATTCCCCCTCAGGGAGAAAATCACAACTGAGCAGTGAGCAGAGAGGAGCTGAAACCTGCCGCCTCTGCCCTTCCTTCTGCTCTATATAGGCACAGCCCTTCACACATCCTTCGGGTCATCTCTTGCCGCCAGCACTCCCCGTGCGGTCAGTGACATGGAAATGTTGGTTTCTCCTGGCCAAGCACATACCTGGCCCCACTTGTAACCTTGTACCTGTCCCCTTGTTGTAACACGGGACTCAAAGAGCTGACGTGGGGGGCTGGAAGCATTGCAAAGCCCCGCAGACACGCCAGGGGAGATAGTGGCTCTCCCCGTGTTGCTGAATCACTTTTTGCTTGGGGCTCTCTTTTGGTGTCACTGCCAGGTCATTGCTCGCTTTGTCGCTGCCTTGCTTACCAGTGCAGTGACCCAGGATGGGACATTCTTGTAAACAGAAACCGAGGGAGAGGGGGCACACACGGCTGGTCAGGTACCTGTCGAGTGACTGTGTCTCATCAAACTCCCTTCTGATGGAAAATGGACCAGAAGATAAGAAAATCACATTTTTTTAAATCTGAAATATTTTAGGGTTCTGTTTGGGTTTTAGAGGAACATCAACCCAAGATATTGTGGTTGTTGCAGGCACAGGGTTAACTCTTCCTGATGTTTTTAAGCATCTCGCTCTGATCAATGACACATCTGGCTGCACTTGAGCACATCTGGCATTGGCTCAGCACCACACCTCTGGTCAAGAGCGCCCGCAACCCTTGGCCGAGCAAGCTGATCACAAGCCAGTTCACAGCAAAGGATGTGATTTTTCCTGAAGGAGAGGGCTGAAGGAAAAGAGAGGGGAAGTTTGATTTCACGCTAGTCCCTGCAGTGGAAGGAGACCCTCAGCAGAGGGTATGAAATGGTATTCACTGAGAGGAACCTGAGTTAGAGTGCTCACCCAGAGCAGAGCATCTCCTGGTGTCCAGCCGCAGGATGAGGGGCTGGCAGCCAGGACTGTGTTTGGGCAGGGCTGATAGAAACAGCCAGGACCTCTGCACTTCCACCCTTTTTCAGCCACGTAGCAGGGTGGTTTGCGGGCATTGGGCAGGGATGCTTGGCACCACCGGCCGGGCTCATCCCCACTGGGCTCTGGGAGATCTCTCCCATGGCCGCAGTGCGATTCCTTACACGTATGCACCAAATCTCTCTCAAATCACAAAAAAGTGACTGACAATAAACCTCTCACAGACCTGGGACTGCTATGTTTCAATATTTTGAATTTTTTCCTCCTGCATCATGCTGCTGGGGGTCAGAGAGGGCTCCTGCCTCCACCAGCACTCTAAATGCACTCAGCAAAAGGGGATTTGGAGGGAGATGGTCGTGGCGGCTGAATAAGCAGCCCCACAGTGGTGCCAGGAGCCCTGTAGCTGAGTCTCACTGGGGATGAACCCAAGAGGTTACCGTGACTCACTTGTTTACCCTGTCCCATCCCGTCCCGTCCCGTCCTGTCCCGTCCCGTCACGTCACATCCCGTCCCTCCTCTTGCCACAGATTGCTCTAAATTCTTGGCTTGGGTGCCTGCAAGTGGGGAACTTTGCTTGGGGGAGGTGATGTAGTAACTGGGATTTTGGCAGGGCTGTGAACAGCCTCTCGGTGACTGACACCATTTTTTCCATGGCGGCCAAACAATACAAAGGAATCACTCAAACAACAGGAAAAGAAATAGCTGTGGGGATTAATTTGAGCCGCAAAGTTTAAATCCGATAGAAAATTCTCTCTTTTGCGGGCGAACTCAGGCAGAGACCATGGCCACCTGCCTGGACACTGACAGCACTTGAATACAACACTCATTGCTACAGCAGGTTTTTTGAAAGGTGAATATCTCTAATATAACAAAACCAGCATTATTATATCACATTTTATTAATAAAATAGAGAAAATAAACAAATCACCCTGGAATTTTTGAGTCCAGGTCACCAGACAAGAAATTTAACAAGAAATAACTCCCAGGGATGATGAAATTGCATTTGTCTTCCTGAACTGCTTGATGAAACTTTGCTTTAAGTTTCTCTCCATAATCCATAGCAGAAATTAAAGCAAAAGTCCAAAAATATAATGTCCATGTAGTATACCTTGTCAAGTGTGCAGAAAAAAAAAGGGAACTGAACTTTGTCAACGGAACTTTCAGCAGCAGAACACCACTTTGCCTAAAGACAGTAACTCAGGAGGGAAGAGCACAGAAGGGCTGGGACCTAAAGTGAGCTCAAACTGCTTCATACGGACCCAGACCCACTGGTGCTTTGTCCATCTTTCTGCTGGTTTTATTGTCAGGGCTTTTGGAGAGCAGGGTCTGTAGAGAATCAGGCTGCTGCAAGGCTTTGGGATCCCTTCGGGAGCAGTTGGCGAGAACTTTCTGCCCCAAAAAATAAAATATCAGGGAAAGGTCAGCTAAAAACCCACATGGAAGGACCCATATGACATGAACAAAAAAAGGGAGAATAATTTGACTTCTGAAAAAATGAAAAATCCATTTAGAGATTTCCAGAGCCTTTGGATTTTAATACAAAACAATGTTTTGGGACTAAACTCATGCAGAAATAACATGTAAAAGCAATCAGGGAGCAGAGTAGCCCATGTCTGCCCCTATTGTGTGGATGCTCCCAGGTCATTGGGGGACTTGTGGTCCCAGTCATGCCTGGTCCCAGTGCTAGGATGGAGCCCAGCTCCTGCCTGCCACACTTCAGGTCTGCAAGGGATGGGGAAAAGCACAGATCATGTTGCTGCATCAGACCCAGAATATATCAGAGGTGTAGATTCAAGGAGTTAGAAGAAATGATGCTCGTAGGGTATTTTTTGGTGTAGACATTTGGAAAAGCTGCAAGGCAAACATGGCAGCACAGAAATGAGAGAAGGTGACTCCAGTTAAATAAAGAAATCAATAAACTGTCTGGGTTATTAGATCTAGGAAGATGTGCCGGAGGAAATCATAATGGTTGCTCCTCTCTCTCAGCTAGTGCTGCCATTGGTGTCAAAAAAAACCCGATGACAAGAATCAGAACATGTCCCACATCACAGGGAGGAGGATGGGGAGCAGAGCCATGGTACAGCCAGGAATAGGGTCTGACTGAGGGCTCGCAGCCACAGAAACACCGGGTCACCAAGGCTGGAGGTACCTCTGGAGGCCATCTCCTCCAGTCTCCTGGTCCAGCAGGACCAGTGGGAGGAGGTTGCTCCAGGCCATTGTTCTGCTGCTTAAGGATGCCAGTTAAACTCAGACACCCGAGTGAAAAGAGCAGGCGTATTTTACTAGTGATAACAGTGTAATACAGAACACATGCAGTAAGAAAAGGCAGAATAGTGCACTCAAAGCAGCAAACAGGGAAAAACAGGGTAATGCATTAAATCATTACTACACGAGAGAGAGAATGGAGATTAAGAAAAATACATCATCACTTGCATATATTATCATCACCCACATCTGCAGTCACAGGGCAGCCCCGGTCACAGCGAGGGTTTGCAGAGCCTGTCCCGGCAAGGGGGAAATCCTAGGCGGTGCCTCCACCCATAGGTGAGGCCGCCAAAGTCGCTGCAAACGGGCCCGGCCTTATAGACCAGAGATCGACAGGCCAGAACAGCTGGCACCTTTGTTTTGGGCGGAAAATTTCTGGTTTCATTCTCCTGTTGGATTCCACCCAAAGCCTGGCCAGGGCTCGGGGGGGGAAACCAAGGGAGTTTCTAACAAGGGCAGATACTTGGGTTCTCAGCCTTGAACAAGGCTAAACAAGGGCAGTTGGATACATTCTCTCCTCACTCCTGATTTATTTTGTCTAAGCTGCATCTTTCATGAGCGAGTTTACGTACTTTGTTAATTATTACAGACTATGTTAGCAGCTTCGGCTTGGGGCCTGTTGTTCAGGCTTCAGTACTTCAAAGCTTTAGTACTTTTTACATCAGCATAAGTGCATTGTTATAACTTAGTACAATACCTACTAGCACAATGGTTATCAGTTATACAGGATTCATCTATAGGTCAGCTCTGGCTTGGGCCAGTTGTCCAGGCCTTAGCACTTCAGCCATGTCTAGTTGGGCTGTGAATATCTCCAAGGATGGAGATTCCACAACCTCTCTGAGCAACCTCTTCCCATGTTTGACCACACTCACAGTAGAATACTTTTTTATGTTTAAGAAGAATTTCCAATATTTCAGTTTGTGCCCATTTCCTCTTGGCACCTTGGAGAAGAGTCTGGCCCTGTCTCCGTTACCACTCCCCATCAAGCATTTATCCACATGAGCCATTTCCTCTCAAGTCTGAACCATCCCAGCTCTCTCAGCTTCTCTTCATCAGAGAGCTGCTCCAGACCCTCAGTCTTTGCTGAAGTCACTCCAGCATGTCCATGTCTCTCTTGTACTGAGGAGCCCAAGGTGGGACATGACACCCAGATGTGTCTCACCAGTGCTGAGCAGAGGGGCAGGATCTGCCCCTTGGCCTGCTGGTGATGCTATGCCTGATGCAGCTCAGGGGGCTGGTGGCCACCTTTGCTGTGAGAGCATTGCTGGCCAGTTTGGTGGCCACCAGGACCCCCATGGTCATCTCTCCCAAGCTGCCTTCCAGATGGCTGGCCCCCAGCACGTCCTGGTGCCAGGGGCTGGACTTGGCACTTCCCCTTGCTGAACGTCACGAGGTCTCTCTCAGCCCATTTCTGCAGCCTGTCCGTGTCCCTCAGGATGGCAGCACCTCGGGATGGCATCAGCCACTCCTCCGGCTTGGTGTCACCTGCCAACGTGCTGAGGGTGCACCCTGCCCCATCATCTGGGTCATTAATGAAGGTGTCAAACAACATTTCTGGAGACTTCTGATCCGCAGGCTTTCAAACACAGCCTTGGTGGCAGCACCAATGTGCAGCCTGGGCTTTGCAAGGCCCACCTTAACCCTAATTCCATGCCCTCCTCCTTGCTCCCTTCACATTGAAGCCATTCTTCAAGACTGATGCC